ATTCTGAATAAAAACCACCCTGCTAACTGTGGGAGGATGAATCAAAGGTCCTCTTGCTAGTCCTATCAGTAGTTTGGAGGACTGAGGAGTTTTTAAGCTCTGCAGCAGCTTTCCATAAAGACAAATTTCATCCTTATTACAGATTCTTCCGGTTCCACTCAAGATAAGGGCTGGCTGAGAAACTCTGCTAGCCCTTGATTAACTGTTGGCTGTGTTAGCCCTTATGGCTGGTTCAAACTGAGTTGTTGGAAGGAAGATGTTGAGACATTTGCAGTCTCTTCAGGATGGGTGCACACCATGTCTTGTCAGCAGGCACATGCAGCCTGTATGCAAGCACTGAACCGGCTAAAATGCATATATTCGTATTAGTGCAGAACCAAGCTGAGCTAATTAATTTTGCTGCTAGGAGGGGTACAATAGTTCAGGTTGAGCTTCTTAGCTACAGAGCTATTACTGGAACTGCAAAGAAACTACATATTTAGATCCTGCAGATACTTACTGATTCCGTTAAATAGAGTGGACTATCCATGTGAAGTGTTTGTATTATGCAGAGGCATTTGTAAACATGTACAGTCAAGGCAGCAGTCCTCTGCCCACAGTTCGGTGTGGACTGACTGCATAGCAGTTGGAAAACAACATTATTCCTTTGACTTGTCTCAATACTTTGATAACTTGCTTCAGAAATCAGGATTTGCTTAAGTTCTCAGCAGCCACAAACCTAAAGAAATTATTTAGATGCCATATGAGCTCAAGAATTCCACCCCAGCTGACCTCAGTACAAAAATGGGTTCAGTGTCCTTGGTCCACAAAGGACGAAATTCAGTGAAAGCACCTTCTGAGCAACAAAAAACATTCACCAGTGCAACAATGACTCTGTGTTGTCTAATATGAACAAAACTTCACAGACAAATGCAGTACACCACTCCGGCTAGGTTGTCAAATAAGACTATCGTGACTGTACTTACTCAGTTTTATGAGGTGTGTAGTACCAGTCCAAATGGTGTGGTCTTTTTCCAGGTACCGTTTTTGTTCCTTACTTGTTAAAAGTGAAATTTCCAGAAGATGCAATCAACTCCCTTTCTGCTTATCTTGGTGTAAGAAATGCCTGTGGTTGATGTTACATTTCAGGATTTAAAAATAGCTCTTGTGTCTCACTCCACTTCAGCTGCTTGCAGGAGAAATGTTGGAGAGAAGGTTTCCTCCAAATAAGAAATTGTCAGTACCAACCTGTATTCCAGAGGAGATACTTCCCAAACCTAGGGCCCTACAAAACTTGGGTACTTTTGACTCCAGCTTCCTTCACTCTGCATTTCTAATGCTGTGACTGAATCATAAAAACACCTTTGTCTATGGCAAGTGTAGCAGCTCTGTTAACAACTAGAACTTAAAGCTTCTTACTGTAAGCTACATCCATGTTCTTACACATATCTAAGGTGGATGCTCAGCCTGTATAGCAACATCCCATCTTCCAAGAGCTGCCTCCATATCTCAGTGTTTTCTCCCAGTTGAAACAGACAATGTGGATCACTTTCTACTCTTCCAAAGAAAATGCGGAGTTTGGTTTAAGGCGGTATCATTTGGTGCTGTTAGCATTCTGACCCTTGTCTCTTATCCCACCATCTGGTTAGGAACTTCTTTGAATGGTAAGTTTTAACACTTTCTCTCTCCCCAGGTGGCATGATACACGAGTTGAGTTTAAGTGTTTGTCTTGGCTTTTCAACACCTTACCTATAGCACTTTTTAAAAAAATTGACTTGCACAGTACATGTCATAATCATATGAAGTACATGCTCTTCAGCATGTCATTACCTCATGACAGTGACCGCATATGACATTAACACTGTTATGACAGTTGCAGTAGTAGACTGCTTGAACTGGTCAGTCTCTACCCCTTCCTTATAGTTTGCTGTCAGTTGTAGAAGTACCATCTGTCACAGCTTGTACAAAGTCCTGTATGGACAAATCACTGAATATAATGCCAGTGGGTGTTACTGTCTGCGTGTCACATGCGTTCCCACTGGGGGTCTGTACATGGATATTTGGGCATGGTGGGATTCGGTGCAGTGATTTGTTCTAAGTAAGAGGTTTCTGTTGTTACCTCCAAATTTTTAGCACATATGCTCTTAGGTAACATGAGAATATATATCATTAACCAATATGTATTAACTTGTTCTTACTGCATTTCTGAACTAGCCTGGCTCTGTTTTACTTCCTCTGTGGATCCATAATATTAATGTAAAGTATTACTTTCTTATTAGTTCTGATATCTGTTTTTCTTCCAGACTGTTTCTGCTTTTATTGAAGCACTCGTTCTTGTGGAATGAGTAATAAAAAGCAAAAATGTGTCACCTGTATTAATTAATGTTATCTGTCATCAGTTTGCTTTTTCAGGATCTGCTAGCCATCACACAGAAAACAGCTGCTTGACTAAAGCTGGGCAAGAATATTCTGGCATTACTGCTCCTCCTCTCAACATCCCGTGGTTGACACAGATAATTTTTAGGCCCGCTTCATTTAGCTTTAAGAAAAAAATCAAGGAATTAAAAATTATGGGTTTTGTGATTCCTCATCTCCATGTGATTGCCAGGGAGCAGTGAGGGATGGCAGCTCCCTACAGGACAGGGAGCAGGATCCCAGCGCAGCCTGGCTGGCAGAGCAGGGACTGGCAGCCGGCTTGTCCCACCCGCAGCCGGGAGAGGGACAGCCCTAGCCCCGGGCACTGGGCACCTCCCAGGGGACAGGATGTGCATAGTTGGAGATTGGGATGGGCACAGCTGGAGATTGGCCCTGCTGCCCTGCTGCTGGCATGGGGATTGATGGCCCTGAGGGGCTGAAATGGGATTCTGAGCCATGGGCAGGATGGGGGGCTGGGCAGGGGTAGGGAGGCTTGGTGGTGCCCTGAGGGCCTGACAGTGATATCTGAATCCTCTTATTACTGCAGTACAGATTAAGGTTAGAAAGAGCTGCTTATATGAAAAAGTGTACAAGAAAGAAAAACAAGTGGACTCTAGTCAAGGGTGGTTCAATAACATCCAGTGTTCCCAGACGTAATCATTTGACTTTCCTGCCTCATTGCTCCATTTGTATTTTCCCATATGTTTAAAATAGGACACTATATGCCAAGAGCAATTGTTTTCATGATGTGTGCCCCTCCTGACCCTCAAGAGAATAGTCTCAGTTCCCTCCCTACCGCTGTATCTAGTGGTTTTCATTGACCGCAGACCCCCCCTGCCCCTTAAGGCTTTGAGCCAGTAATCTCTGTGTTCAGAGAGTGAAGCTGAATATGGCTTGTGGAAATCTGAAACCCACCGTTTCCTCCCTCAGGAGTGATATTTCCCGTTAAATTTCCTGGTAGCTCTCCTGGTATGGTTATTTCGGATCTGTGCCATCCTAGCACTCAGTCATTCCCAGCGTTCCTCACACATCTGGAAACTTTGTCTTTGAGGAGTTTCAGAGCTCAGTATTCAAAATGGGTTAATATATAGCAGTAAACCATCTGACAATTGAAATGGTACTCTTTCCTTTGGTATTTTATGTATTAATCAAACCAACTTTCACAACCTTTTTTCACCCCATTTTGACCATTATTTCAAGAGAAGTGAGATTGGGAGTTATCCTAGACCTGTTCATTCCCTTCTCTGTCTTCCAGGAAACATAATCCTTGGGTTCTTCCATGTGCCAGACTATGCCTATCTCCATCAGAAATAAAATTATGTTATTATTATTATTAGAATATTTGCTCTGTGTCCACTGTTGATAAAGTCGAATGAAGCAAATTCTCTTACCTGTGTCCTACCCTGTTAAAGTCAGCTTACTTTCAGCCGGAATTTGGCTGAAATTTGTTTAACTAGTTCCAGTGGTTTAGTTTACCATACTCACTGAAAAAAGTGTGAAAAAAAACTTTCCTCTTCCTCTGGCTCTAACTGTAAATACATTTTTTTTTTCTTCACAGTTAACCTCTAGTGTTAGGGCAGGAATTATTATCTTTTCCCTGCTGCATTGTCTTCTTCAAAATTCCAGGCAATTCTGTTATCAATGAATTTTATTCTCTAAATGGTTAGTAGTTCTCTTAGTATCTCACCTAATGAGGTAGCTACGTCCTACCAATTGATAGATGATGGCTGGCCATGAATATTTCAGCCTTACAGTCTGAAAATCAGATCCAGTGGCAGCAAAGTTCCCTAAAGCAAAATGAATTATAGGATTTCAGGTCTGATGGGGCTTATAATTGCATTTAACTTGTATTCACTTACATTTTTATAAGTTTGGAGGTAACAGGAATTGGAAGATGGGTGATAGCCTTCACTCCTACGTGAAGTTTGAGTGAATCCCTCACATTCTTATCTATGTAAGGACTTCTGCTAGGTGTTTCGGGGAGCAGCTAAGCTGTCTCTCTCTACGACAAAGATATCCATCTTCTTTATTTGCAAGTTGTGATGTAAGTTATTTAACATCTGTGATATTGTGCACAGGAAAACCATTCTGAACAGCTGCCGAAATGAATTATTAATTAATTGGCTTGCAACCACCTAACTGTTCACGAAGTACTATAGCCCATACTTCCGATGACCATTCCTTTCATCTCCTTGGTTCATTTTTTCTTCAGCCTTCTAGTTTCTTACGGTTACTTGTTCTGTGTTGATTGAAATCACATTGTTAATTCTTTAGAAACTGAAGTCTCTCAGTTATTTTTTTTTAAATAATCTTATCAATTAATAATAAAGATAAGACCAATTACAACTTTTTCTGGATGGGAAAGAGAGACCAAAAGGGAAAAATAGGTTAAGAAAATGAGTTCTTGGTCTGATTAGTTTCTGAACTTTTGCTGTGAAAATGGACTTGCTCTGCAAAGCAAGTCAAGGGAAATTACGTAGTAAAGGGTTTATATAGCCTTTTGTTGCTTAGTTAGTCAGAACTGGTTTTTATTCATCCAGTTCTCCACCACTGCTCTCCTGCTTATTTGCCTGTCTTTGAGCAGATTTTGTTTGGTTTTTTTGCAGGTCAGAATTAGCTTCCTGCTGTGATGCAGTTCACAATTTTGTTGCTTCTCAAAACAACACCCCACTGGGAAGTAACATGAGTTACGAAGTGGACAGTAAAAAGACAATCCTCATTACAGATGACATTTTTAAGATGCTGCCTGTGGTAAGAATTGCATCTTTACCTGTTTTTATAATTGGTGTATTGTACATATTTTCGGTTAGCAATAGAGCTGCCTTGTTTGATTCCTCTGGAGGGGACCCTTCACCCCCTGAATGCAATTCTTCATTCACCTTGTATGACCTCTTTTCCTGCTTTCCTCTGCAGTGGTGGAGGCATGGAAAGGGTATCACAGATCAGATTGTAGGTAGGGTTGCTACAGAATGCAACTTCCAGCCTGGCTTGGCAGCCAGCTGAATTCAGGTGTGAATCATCTGAGAACGTTCATTTTGCTGTTCTCATTCCCATTTTCAAAGGCATTTCAGTCTGGAACAACATTTTATATTCCCATGCCATTTCTAGTGCAGGCTCGGTCATATAACTTACAAAAGCTATTTTGATGGTAAACCTGATGAATGGAATGGAATGGAATAGAATAGAATAGAAAATAGACTCTTTCAGTTGCAAGGGACCTACAATGATCATCTAGTTCAACTGCCTGACCAGTTCAGGGCTGGCCAAGTTAAAGCATGTTGTTAAGGGCATTGTCCAAATGCTGGTAAGAATTGCATCTTTACCTGTTTTTATAATTGGTGTATTGTACATATTTTCGGTTAGCAATAGAGCTGCCTTGTTTGATTCCTCTGGAGGGGACCCTTCACCCCCTGAATGCAATTCTTCATTCACCTTGTATGACCTCTTTTCCTGCTTTCCTCTGCAGTGGTGGAGGCATGGAAAGGGTATCACAGATCAGATTGTAGGTAGGGTTGCTACAGAATGCAACTTCCAGCCTGGCTTGGCAGCCAGCTGAATTCAGGTGTGAATCATCTGAGAACGTTCATTTTGCTGTTCTCATTCCCATTTTCAAAGGCATTTCAGTCTGGAACAACATTTTATATTCCCATGCCATTTCTAGTGCAGGCTCGGTCATATAACTTACAAAAGCTATTTTGATGGTAAACCTGATGAATGGAATGGAATGGAATAGAATAGAATAGAAAATAGACTCTTTCAGTTGCAAGGGACCTACAATGATCATCTAGTTCAACTGCCTGACCAGTTCAGGGCTGGCCAAGTTAAAGCATGTTGTTAAGGGCATTGTCCAAATGCCTCTTAAACACTGACAGACTTGGGGCATCGACCACCTCTCTAGAAAGTCTGTACCAGTGTTTGATCACACTCTTGGTAAAGAAATGCTTCCTAATGTCCAGTCTAAACCTCCCATGGTGCGGCTTTGAACCATTCCCACGTGTCCTATCACTGGATACCAGGGAGGAGAGCTCAGCACCTCCCTCTCCACTTCCCCTCCTCAGGAAGCTGCAGAGAGCAATGAGGTCGCCCCTCAGCCTCCTTTTCTCCAAACTAGACAAGCCTGAAGGTCCCTAGCCACTCCTCATAGGTCATTCCTTCCAGCCCTTTCACCAGGAATGCTGCTCACTGGGGTGGGGCCTTTGCAGCCAGAAACACAGGTTGAGCAAAGGAATCAGAATTTGCAACTTGGGACTTATAAGAGACATGTAAGCTCTGGAGACCAGACAAAGAGGGCCACAGATATGTACTTAATTTCTTAAAAGTAAGACCACATGGGAGCCCTCTGGCCTGCCTCTGGCATTCTTGATTTGTGAGATCCCAGCATTCAAGAGTCCAGTCCATTCTAATGCTGCTGTGAATCACTAAAAGACTTAATTGCAATAGAGGGTACAGTGGTTCCAAATTTAAACTGAATGAAATAAAAAAGCAGTATGTTTTACGTGCATATATACATGCTAAGCCAGACAGAGTCACCTGGCCTTTGTGTTCTCCTTCTGTCTTTTCAGGATTGAACAAAATATTTGAACGTGTTGTTTTGTAATATGTTGCCAGGCAATGTGATGTCTACCACTTTCCCCACACTTTTTGCCTTGTTCATAACAGTGGCCCTTCCTGCTTCTCTTTGGGCAAGCTGATGAGAGAAGGAGAAAAGATAACACTTTGTGTAAGCAAGTTTTGATTCAATTTGACAAGTGGGTTCAGTTTCTGCAGTCGAAGCAGCCCAGCTGTTGGCCTCTGTGTTGAATGTCAATGCTCCCACAGCAGGAGAGATTGAACAAGATGTATGAAATGTTGCTGAGGCCCTGGGATAACAGCCAACTATATTAATGTCAACTGAAATAGCCAGCAATTTACATAAATTTAGTAGGTTGTGATCTGTGCTGGTTCACTTAGCTCCCATTCAGCTTCCTCACTGCAAGACAGGAACCTCTAACAAGAAGAGGAGCAGAGAGGGTGGACAGCTGGATACGGTAACCTCTTCAGCTAGCTGTCACATTCACAATGAGTTAAGCCAGGGCGCGTGATTATCCCTTACAGCGTCTTCAGGTTCCCCTAAATTTGTTATTTTACATCAAATGTAATTGTGTGATGACAAAGTAATGAACATTTACAAAGTTACCTTCTATTAGCTGGAAAAGTGAATGACTATGTGACAACCCCCAGTCTGTTACAGTGCAAAGGAAAATGGGTAAATTTAAACTGTCATCAGTAGAAGTTTGTTCCTTAGCTTGTCAAGGATTCAGTCCACTACTAGATAATTTTTGTGTTAAAGTGTATTTAAAATATATTAATCCAGTTTTAACAATTCGGTGTTATTCCATAAGAGCACTGACGACAGAAGTAGCAGTTCTCAGGCTGCTGGTGCTTATTTTTGGCTCTTAGCTGTCCAGGCCTGGCAACCCTGTCTGCTAAATGGTGAATGCTTTCTGGGATTTACTGGATTAAACCTGCAAGGACCAATTACTAAAGACGCAAAGAAACAATCAAAAGATTTATAAGGCATTGGCTGTGTCTTTTTATCTGTTTGCAGGCCTCTCCCCTTTCAGTCTATCCCTTCAAGACCTGTGCCGTGGTTGGAAATGGAGGCATTCTGAAAAATTCCAGCTGCGGAGCTGAAATCGATAGTTCTGACTTTGTGTTTAGGTAAGAGCTGCTTCATCTTGCTGAAGTGTGTCCAATGTTTCTAAAAACTTGGCAGGGTTGGAAGCATGCCAATGCCAGTTTGTAGCAATGAGGAAGGATCTTGACAATTCTTTATTTCTGCTTCTCTAAGGATACTCCTTCTGCTTTGTGAATTTCAGAACACTGCTTCCTAAGTAAAGAGAGGACTATATGCATACATGTATGATCTATGATTGCAAAGATACCTTGACAGTGATGTGAAACGTGGTTATCTGAGAGCCTGAAATTTCTCTTAATTTAACAACCTTTAGGAGAGGGAACTTTTTTCTTTTTTCTTTTTTCTTTTTTTTTTTTAATCAGGAGAAGAAAAGAAAGAAAACATGAAATAAGAAAGACTGGTATTAAATGTCAGATGTTTACCTTTGCCTCTGGTTTAACAAAGGGTTTACTTAGCTGTAGGTTAGCTCACTCATGCAGTTATTTGACTGCCCTGGTATTTGTCTCACCTTCTGTTAGGTATCAAAAAAATTAGGCATCTAATTTAAGTAGGGTTTTTTCAGCTGCCTCTATAGATTGTGGAGAAAACATAGTGCGTAATTTGGCCCACTCTCTCAGTCCATGACTCACACTTTGTAGTTCCTGCAAGGGAACAGAATAACAGAGTGAAGGTTCTTCTCTCAGTGATGTCCAATTGCACAGCCTGCTGGATTTTGTTTCCTTTCCTACTTTTGACTAATATTGGGGCTTTTCAAATTAAAAAAAAACAGTCTTTCCAGGTAGATAACTGCCTTAATAAAAATGGGAAATCTGCATGCTAAGATGCTGAACTTACTAAATTACTGACTTTTAAAAAAATACTTTCTTTACCTTTTATAGAAACCACTGTTTCTGCAATTGGACAAGTTATGCTGTTGTTGTCTCATGAAACAGCTGTCAACATTGCTGTGCAAGCTGAGGGAGTGGTATCAATCAGACTGTTATAAACAGAAAAATGATAAAAGATTTTCAGAAGAAATGCATTGTTTAGGCAGAAGGTGCAATATTTCCCAGCAGAGACAGAGCATTCATAGACTCACTCCTTCTGGGTTTTTAACTTTGCTTCTGATTTGTGAGATGATCTACGAAAATGAGCTCTCGGTGCCCTATTTTAACCATCTGTACAGTAGATTAAATATTTTTACTAGAAGTGCTGTAAGCCTTATTTAATATTTGTAAAGTGCTTAGAGATCTCTGGGAGCTGACATGAAAATGTCATTGCACAAGAGAGGAATTTGCAAATAATAACTGTAAAGCATTTCTGGTGTGCATCTGTTTAAGTAAATGTTTCTCAATTTCAGGTGTAACCTCCCTCCAACCACAGGAAGCGTTAGCAAAGATGTTGGCAATAAAACAAACCTTGTGACTGTTAATCCGAGTATCATAGCTCAGAAGTAAGTACTACTTCAAATCTGTTTCTGTGCAATATTGTATAATTGTTTGACATGATTTAGATTTTGTTGGAAATCCATTGGGATACCAGCGTAGAGAGCAGTGCATGCAGATTGCTTCATTAAGCTTTGGTTCCCATGTAAAATATGTACCAGTATAAGTGGAAAGCTGTTAAACCTGGCCTTTTTGTAGCAGAAAGGAGTCAGCAATACACAGATTAGCAAGTGCCTCAGTTGGCACCAGCCCACAATTTATGACAGAGTAAAACTGATGATTGCAAACCCAAGCCTCTTCTTTTCCCCCCGTGACCGTCATGACCCTTTCATAAGAAAGGAGTTGTAATCATAAATCAGGAAGGCTTGGAAATGTGTGTCTCATTCTACAAGTAGGACTGTAAGCACATGTTTTTAGGTAATGTGCTTAGAGGCTGTTCTGATGAAGGCTATTTCCTGAATGGAGGCCAAATTTCTGTAATCCATTTTCTCAATCCATATGAAAGCTGCTCACACACTTTTTTCTCAGAAAAGGTTTTTTTTTGTTTTTTTTTTTTTTCTTCACCTTCGTGATGAAAAGAAAACCTAATAAGACCAGGCTGACTAATCTGACATCTTCAGCAGGCTGGAACTGCAGTTTATCTATGAAAAGGACTGCTGTGGCATGTTATTTACTGCTTACTGATCTTACTGTATCTTATTGTCTGTCATATCTGTATTTGTCAAATAGACTGCATCAGTCAAAGCTTTTTTTTTTTTTTTTTCCTTTAGAGGAAGAAGGAAAAAGTGAGCATGGAAATGACTAACAGGCATTTGCCATTGATTCAAGGATAGAACTTGGTTTTTTGCAACAAGTACTAACTACCTTGATGCTTACCCAACCCTTTTTTGAGTTAAATTAAGATGAATTGTTGCTTCCCCAAAACCAGATTTAGCTCAATGATGTTAGTGGGGCTGCGCAAGAATATGAAGAAGGAAAACTTTGTCCAGTGACTCAGCATCATTGGTGACTACTGACCTGATGCATGATTTGTCTGGGCTTGATCTAAGTGTTCTGCCACAGCTGCGCTCATTTTTTAGCCAAATGAAGCCACACCAGGGTTAATAGGTGTTACACTGAAGGAAATAGGAGCTAAACCTGTGTGAGGACAAAATGAGACTATGAGAGGACTTTAGGATTTAAAAAAAAATATTAATTTAAATGTTCAGAGAACACTGTAAATGCTTTTGAAGGAAGTGACTTGGCACCATTTGGAAGAACTAAGTTTGTTTCTTCTCTCAGAAGATCTATTCTGACTTTATTCATTTTAATTTATAATTCTGTGTTTGGGTACGGGGTTAGTTTGATGTTATTATTGTTAAGGTTAACCAGCTTTTGCACTGTGTCTGTCAGGGTGTACAATGTAGATGTAGGAATGAAGGACAGTTCTTATGTGTCCTGATGGAGCTGGGCTACAGTGGCAGAGGAAAGGAGAACAAGACGAGGTTGAGTTGTTCAGGTTTCTAGCTAGGGAGGAACAGAGGTCTGAATTATGTCCTGAAGGCTCTTTATATACTTGTACACTGAATAGAAACAGAAAGTTACTGAAGTAGAGGCCAGAAGTTCACCCTTCAGTCACAGAATCACAGAATGTTAGAGATTGGAAGGGACCTCGAAAGATCATCTAGTCCAATCCCCCTGCCGGAGCAGGAACACCTAGATCAGATCACACAGGAACGCATCCAGGCGGGCTTTAGGCTCAGGTGCTTCTTGCTTGTTTTGGCTGTGCAACTCCTGCATGCACAGGGGACCAAGGTCAGCAGGAGGGGCTGAGTCTCTCTCATTCATTTTGTTTGAGGGTCTGGTGATAATGGCACTTTTCTGGGAAGCAGAAGCTGTAACTTTAAACCCCTTCAGGCTGAGAAGGGGTGTATCACTCCTTGCATGAGTTCAGTTGTGCAAGAAGTAACTGATAACTCCTTCATTTTGAATTGTGAAGTTTTGAATGGAAATGGCAGTGGCTGCTGTCCTCTGTCTTGAAGTGCTACAGGAGAAGAGGGTTTGAACCTAATCAAGTTGTGAAAATAAATGTAACCAAGTTTTCCAGTTCCTGCTGGAGCCCTTTGTGAGCTCTGGTAGCCCTTAAAAGGTGAAAATACACTGTTCAGATACACAACTACCTACAAAAGAGAACTCGGTGCTTTGTATCCCAAAGAGGATGTGAGCACCATGTGTTCAGGTGATTCAGACAACTCAGATCTATAGAGGAAATGAGCTGGGTGACCCCCTTGTGTCTTGTATCACTTCGTGGATAACGCTGGAACTTCACTGTTCAATATTTGGGAGCATGGAATTATCCAATGGTGGGAATTAAGTCTCTTTGCTGGTTGTTGGGGAACCAAAGCATCTGAGGATGAATCTTCTTCATTTGTAAAGTTAGATCTCTAAGTCTTTACAGATCTCCATGTTTTCCCTTTGTAGTCGAAGAAGATAAATAGACATGCCTATATTTTCAGCTATTTTGAAAGTATATCAAAAGCAGCTGAAACCCTGCAAAACTTGAGCACACACTGATCTTTAACACTCCAAGACTGCTCATATGCATACTTGTATTTCCACGCATGTCAGACACAGATTTTGAAGACAGGTTATTGTATACCTGTTGATGTAAGAAACACATTTCACAAACACATGAAGTACGTATCATAGAGCATGTATTTTTAAAAAGAGAAAGTATGAATATGATTTTTTTTCTCCTTTGAAATTTCTTGATTTGTTCAAGTCTATAAACAGGTTCTGATCTCATTAGTAGTGAATTTGATCTGCTTCAGTAGCTCCCATGTTGCCAATTCAATCCTATGAAGTGTGCTCTTGTTATACAGTAAAGACAGATTTTCATAACTGCACATATAGCTGGTTGGTATAAATTTGCAATGTAGACAGGCTGAACTGGTGCAGCAGAGTTCATAACTCATGTATGCAAGTTCAGTTGTGCTGTTTTAATCTGTAACATATATATCAATAGTACATTCTATTCACTCTTTTCCTAAAATGTTGTACTTTGCAGATACAACAAACTAAATGAAAAGAAGAGAGAATTTCTGGAGAACATTGCAGTCTATGGAGATGCTTTCCTTTTATTGCCGGCATTTTCCTTCAGAAGCAACACAGCCACTTCTTTTAAAGTATATCACACTCTGCAAGAGTTCAAAGCAACCCAAAGGGCAATCTTTTTCCACCCCATTTATCTGAAAAGTCTTGCCCAATTCTGGAGAACTAAGGGTGTGAAAGCCTACCGGTTGTCATCTGGTTTTATGATCACTAGTGCTGCTCTTGAGCTGTGTGAGAATGTGAAGCTCTATGGCTTCTGGCCTTTCTCAAAATCCACAGAGAAGATGCCAATCAGCCACCACTATTATGACAACCAGCTGCCTAAACCAGGTTTCCATGCAATGCCCAAAGAATACAACCAGATTCTTCAGCTTCATGGCAAAGGCGTTTTGAAATTGCAGTTTGGTAAATGTGAATCAGACTGAAAAGGTAGGTCACATTCTTACCAAGTAAAATGTCTTTAAGTAACGTGTCAAGGGAAAACTTGTTTTGTGAATGGTGTGTGTCTGTTCTTCCTTAGGGAGACATTTCTGCCTTATGATAATGAAAGTTGTGTTCATAAAGTAAGTGAAAGGTTGGAGTTTTCTGAATAAATATAAAGTATCACAGAGTTGAGAAATGTTTTCTAATTGTGGACTTTAGATGGGGAGCATAGCTAAATATACATCATCACCATAATTTAAAGTCAATCCGTAGTGTATCCTTATCACAGATAGAGATAAAGAGTCTCTACCAACCTCTGTTTGGTATCAATTCCCATGAACCAGCTTCTGTTGTGAATTGCTTTATTAAAGGCAGTCACATACTATGATCTACAAGAGAAGACACCTAATCTTGGCACTGCCTTTCCGGACGTACACAGAGGCCAAAGTAAAGATTGCCCTGCAAAGGAGTAGCATGCATACACCCCCTTGTTCCCTCTTGTTAGGTAAAGAGAAGTTCAGAGCAGTATGCTCTCACAGCCCTGGGCTGAGAAACAGCTTGAGGACAGTAGTGAGTGCCATACACTAAAGCAAATCTTGCTGAGGATTTTACCGTGAGGCAGCTCTGAATCTGGGAGTTATAAATACAGGATCAAGTGTCATTCCATTTCCTCTGTCCTTCCTAACTGTCCCATCCCCCTGGGACCTCTGCCTTCTGTGTATTGCCTCAGAGAAACGCGGCACAGAGCTTGGCCCCTGACCTTGAGCCAATTTACTGTGTACAGATTACAGATGGCTTTGAAAAGATTTGTCTGCATGTTTTCAGTCTTGATCTGCCCTCTTGACAAAATAAGAACTATTTGTATGAATACTTCTTCGTGTTTTAAGTTAACTCAGAAATTCCCCAGCTCACAATACTGTTGTCAGATTTGCCTTTCACAGAACTCTATTTTTCCAAGGGGTCCAAGTTAATATAACAGTAAGTGAAATGTACAGTAGAGCTACCCATTGTATACAATACACGTTAATTGGACTGATGTAATCTCACAACTGTATTACTCAAGTTAAATAAATTAAAATAGCATAATCTTGTTCAAGCCAGAAATTTTGAGTTCAAAAACTAAGGGCTTTTATTCTGGCTAGATTCTGAAAGGTATTTGAAAATATCCTTTGATGGTATTTAGAAAACATACTATGAAAGATACATTGACACTTGGTTCATTGTCAGAGACTGCTGAGTTTTAAACTAGCAGATTTAGTACCAAGAAGACACAATTTTATTCAATTTGTTTGAATTAATAGAAAAATAAAGGCTTTCATATATTATTAGAATAGTGTAAAACATGTGAGAAGGGACCTAGAAGCCATCTAGCGAGCCATACTCCTAGTCCATGGCAGGAGATGGCCTAGGAGGAGGCGTATGTGTATGCAGTTTCACGTGGCTAAGGTATGCTTTTTTGCTTGCAAAAAGTTGTAGCATACTGGAAAGGTTAAGAAATACATAATGTATTTTTCTTAGTGGCTAAGCTGTTTATACCCTGCAGTTGCCATTGTATTTATTCTTCCTATAATATAAATCCCTGGAGACATACCATGTAATTTTAATTGTAGTAACTACACCAGCTAAGAAAATGAAAGGCAGGTCTTTATGAATATTTAATCTAGAGAGAAGCAGATAGAAGCCACAAAAATGTTTAAGCATCTGTATGAGTTAATTAAATGCTGTCCATGCTTGACAGTCCAAAAATCACTTCTGTGGACAAATTTGCAAAATAAGCTGTAAAGAAGAAAGCAACCGGAAGGATAAATTGTGCTGCCCTGAGATTTTTCTCCCCTATGTTAATCACTTATATTTACAAAGCGAAAAGTTAGCCTTTTAAAACCAAAGAAAGTAAATGCTTTCTGTATGAGCTACAATAATGAGTATATTCCAATGAAGATGACCTTTTCTAAAAATTGAACAATCTCCTTTCAGTTTTCCTTTTATGTTTCTCTTCCCTGTTAGTGGGTAACTGAAGGTTCCTTACACCATTGGCTGCCCACGGCATTCTGAGGCAGATCCTCCCTCACCCATTACCGGGACACAAAAGATTGCTGCCACAAATAAGAAGTGAAGAAAGCTGCTCTGCTGCAAGCACCCATATTGCAGGCAGGTAGCAGGTTCTGGAACACTATAGGAAGAGCATAACTGCATCCTAATGAATCATTTTGTCAGTATAACTCCTAAACGCTATCCTTGCTATTGTAACAGATAAAGAGAATTGTCAAATGCAAGAGCCCTGTAGAGCTGGTGCTGAACAATGTGGGAAGCTTCATCTGCCTTAATATCCACTCCTGCACCTTTATGACTATGCTCGACAGACATGTACATGTCTTGGCTAAAGTTGATGCATACCTGTCACAGATGAGACATCAGCAAAAACTTGAAATGTAATTAAAATAATGATCTCTATTATTTTGCATTAAATTACCAAATCATTTTTGCTATGGCCCTGCAGCTGAAGGAAGTCTTGTTTGTTCATTGGTTTAACTTGATAAGCCTGAAGGGCATGTCATCTTCAAATAAACGTAGGTTCAAGGAGGGGAAATAGCCTGATTCATATTTAAAAATAGACAGAAAAATCTGATCAGAAAAATTGTCACAGAATCACAGAATCACAGAAT